CGTTTGTGGCCTAGCAGGGTTTTTTTGTGCAAGGTTTGAACTTTGAGTGTTTAAACAAAAGAAAAGCACATAAAGTGTGTAGTGAGGGGTTTAACAGCCTTAAAACATTGTGGCAGTGTGCTGGGACGAGCACGTCTGCAGAGGAGAGGAGAGTCAGCGGGGTTGCGCTGTGCCATGGCTGGAGCGCATTAGTATTCAGCGCTCCTGCATCTTTATACACAAGAGGAGGAGACGTGAGTCTCTACATTGTGACAACGAGAGACTGAGGCAGCAAGAGCCTGAAACATTCGAGTGAGTGTGTGCAAATCAAACTGCTCACCCATGCACGCATGCTGGACATAAAACTGTTAAGAAACGGACATTTTGTTTTGTTTTTGTGTGTGTGACCCCAACAGTTGATGCGTACGCTACAAAGGAAGCTGACTCCTTAGCAGATTTTGCCTATTGCGGGTTATTTTTGGAACGTAACTCCCACGATTAACGAGGGACCACTGTTTATGTTCTGGCCATGGCCCATAGACAGAGCTCAGTCATGAAGCAGGATCTACAGTTGTCTTAAACTGTCTCCACAAGCTATCGGACAATGATCAACGGGACTTATTTACCATTACGGATGTTGGTTAACGGAGGTCTGCCACACACTGGTAAAGAAGACGTAACTACATCCTTTATCTAAATGAAGGACTTGAGTACCTATATCTGCTCTTGACTCAAAGAAAAGGTCAAGTCTAAAAAGTCCAAAGTTGATGCCAAAGCCATTTTAAACAAGCCAACACCATCTTGGTTGTTCCACTCCATCGCATCATCCCGCCCACCAAATTAATAAAGCGCTGTGATTGGCAAGACACAAGCCTGGTCTGGCCTGCTGAAGCACCTATGGACCATGGCCAGACCGACATGCAGAGCAAATTCATTTGGCTTCGGCTACTGTCTGTCTAGATATATAGGTTAGCACTGCATCACAGTCACACACCCAAACACACACCACATTGCCAACTCCCTTCCCCTTGAAATTAACATCTGTGGTTAATATCGGCCCAGTTTTCCTTGTCGAACCGATACGATATGTTTAAAAAAATGACTAACATAGACCAATGCTGAGGCTGATATGTTGCGCATCCCTATGTATATGATTATGGATTCTTTGAGAATCAAATGTTTAAACTGCAGACTGACGATGTCATCTCAGTTCAAAACAATTATCGGAAAATTTAAGAAATGCCACCAAAACTCTGGTTCAGAAAATAGAAAAACAGGAAGTAGACTAAATCACTAAACTATCACAACCAACAATGACTTTGTTGGGACCTACTTGCTTGTCCGTAAGCTCTGTGACATTCTACGTATTTTCTATGTATTTTCTATATTTAAGATTTAGTGAGAGAATTATAACACTAATACCTCTAATTCTTGTAGCCCTACTATTTAATGTGTAAATGACCAAACTGTCCTCCTAATTAACTCAACTCTTCCAATCAATATTCAGATAAAAGACATTGGAGGACCCGATTCCAGTCAATGATTGTTAGCAGCACTTAATATCACTTAAATATCAAGCTCAATTTGGTGGGTTTAGCCACAAAGATGCTAAGTGATCTGCATTTGTGGGCCACTATTTGTATCAACTCAGCTATGATGAAGATTCTGTGTTGATGCTGCTTTATTGGGTTTATTTGATGAGTTTATTTGTACACTATTTATAGCTGTTCTGATGCAAATGAGCGGAAAAGGTGAGCTAACTTCACTTTATATCTGGTTGAAACATTTTTTCAGTAATGATAAAAAAGAAACAGTTGGTGTGGTTTCCTTGGCGATGCATAAAAGTACAATTTCTGGTTGTATTCGACTTGTCACTTCTGCCGCCATAAGCTGAAAATAGAAACAACTAAACATCTCTAGAAGTAAATTGCATATGCCAAAAGGTGACTCTATATTTGTGTAGAGAATCTAAACTAGCACTTTTACACCTCACAATGTACGCAAGTTGTCTGACATTCTGGTGAAAATTCAGCTTATAACAAGCAGTTATGTGCAGAAATGTAGTTTTTTTTTTACTGCCCGAACCAGTTACCAGGCAACAAGTGGACAGAAAGTTGGTGTTAATTTGTGTCAAAGTTTAAGAGGTGTGGGGTTTGTTAAGTTTGCTGACTGATGTGCGGTGCGTTAGGTGTCTCCAAAGTCTAATGTGATAAAAAAGGAGGGGGGTTGGGGGTTGGGGGGGGGGGGGGGGGGGGGCAAGAAACAACTAACAAAAGTACGAAAAGAACTAGAAGTTACAAGAAATCGTTGAGAAAAGGGAAATTCAGACTGCATGGGACAAGTAATTAGGAAAAAACAACATAAATCTGCATAACCTTCCACATAATATTATCAAAAACAACAGTCCATATCTGGCAAAGACTCAGCCTGAATGTAAAATGCCTTCATGTTTCCATTTCCACCCCACAACCATTAATCCTTCCACCGCCCCTCTCTCTGCAACTCCATATCAAGTTATTGTTTTGGACGATGGCGTAAGAAAAGGGAGGCACCACTGATGGGGCCCCAGTCGTGACATCACAGATGAAGGTAGCTCATGCATCTGGTCCTGGGCGTGGAGCCCTGTTCCTCCTCATTCTGTTAAGACTGACTCCAGCAGTGAGTCAGGGTCCTTAATGAGGACCAGATTTTGCACATCATGACTGAGGTCACTCTGTGAGAATCTCTGGAGCTTGGTATGTGTGCATGTGTTGGAAGGAAAAAAGCAGGGAGGGAGGTGTGCAACGGGACCCCAGGAACTGATTTTGAGATCTGCAGCTCTGTGGTGTGAGAGAAAAAGGCATGACACAATAAAAGAGAGAAGACCTTGTAACTTAAAAAGGGTAAGGCTTGAGGGGGATGGAGGAGTCTGCTCCAGTCTTCTGACGTTAACATAAAGGAGCAACGAGCCATGAAATGGTGTAAATCGTAACAGATTTGAGATGGGTTGTAAAGCTGTACGTTTTTATTTATCTGTCTCTTTTCTTATATTAACACCCAGGAATTCAACCCAACCAAAGCCAAAGGAGGCCTTCAGTGCGGGCCTCTGCTTCTTGCTGTCGAGACATATTGAATCACATATTCAAGGCGAACACGGGAGGCCCAGTGAACTCGTGTCCTCCCACTATGGGAAATACCCTGTGGCCGTTCATTGGATCTGATCCTTTCCTCCAAGCCTGCTTTTTAAACCAAGCAAGCAGAATGCATTACATGGAGGATTATCTTCAGGAAAACGTTGTGTTTACACAGATGGTAATCAGGCCTAATAAGCTTAAATGTTGGAAGTTAAAGAGGAAGCTGAGAGAGATTGTGCATTTAGTAAATATTTATTTTAGTCCAGCTCATATCTGGCTCGACTGCAATGATGACGATATTTTCACTGCAGAGACAAAATTACTGTTGTAACATATCAACGAGCTCATTAAACAAGGCTGAACATTTCAACATACTGTGATTCGAGCACATCCCTAGTTTGCCTTGATGGCAGGTTTTATCTTTTATTTAAAAGAATCTTTTACCCTTCGAAGTGCTAGTCAGATGGTGGGAAACCCTCTCTTCCACAAGCTTTTGTCTAATGATCCCTGTTATGTTTTTAGACTGGTCATCTAAATTTCCCCCCTCTAAAGAGCCTAAGGAGTGCTTTAGCAGGTCTGCAATGTTTAGAAAGTAATCAGTCAGACTTTCTCTATCATGCTCATTTGTCAGCTACATCTGTCATCAAGCTCTGAAATCCTCCCAGGAAAGACTTCCCAAAGAATGTGCACCATAATGGGCTCGACACACGGGAGGCGACAAACGACCGCGATCAGCGAAATTTGTCGCCGTCGCTTTTACTACCTGACACACGGGAGGCGATCCGCGGCAGCGGCCAGCGGCAAAGCCGTCTACTCGTTCTGTTCCATGGCGAAATCGAAACTTCCGTTGTTTTGTTTGGCTGTGTCAGGTTGGAGGGAATTAAGGTTATTTAAGCGGTTCAGAGTTAATAAAGCGGTAGATATGATGTTTCACAAGGTGCTGCTAGAGTTCTGTTAAATCTTACTTCTGATTTTACTAAATAAAACATAATAATAATCAACTTCTCCTCCATGTTTGCTCGGAGATGTACGGAGCATCCTGTCCGCTCATTGGTCAGTGAATGAAACCTCCGTTGATTGGTCCTCGTCTGAGCGACAGCGATTAAAAGTTAAAAATGTTTCAACTTTCTGGGATCGCGTTGCTGGGTCGCCTGTGCACGACACATGCACGAGCGCAAAATTTCACACGCACGTTTTTCGCGTTTCGCTTGGTAGGAGGGAGACCCGCGATCATCGCTTTGTCGCACATGTCTCATTGAAAATGAATGGAGGAGAGGCGATGTCGCCTCCCGTGTGTAGAGCCCATGACTAGCAGCATTTGTGTTGTGTCTTGCCTTCAGTTACAGCTAATTTAAGGATGCTGCAATGCTATTTTCCTCCTCGTATTTGGGTGAAATCATGTAAAACCACTTTGCTTTTAAACATAGCAGTTGGTTCTCATTTTGGATTGAACTTGTAGTGTCTTGGGGAATTTTGACAGTACACGAATTAATCCGACTTTTTACGGACAACAATAGCTCATGAGGTAGAGCGGGTTGTTCGGCAATCGGAAGGTTGCAGGTTCAATCCTGGCTCTGACCAGAGAATGCTGCTGTTGTGTCCTTGGGCAAGACACTTAACCTGCCTTGCCTGCTGCTGGTGGTTAGAGGGGCCGGTGGCGCCAGGCCTTGCCTCTGTCAGTGCGCCCCAGGGCAGCTGTGGCTACATCCCCACCAGTGTGTGAATGGGTGAATGACTGATTGTGTTGTGAAGCGCCTTGGTGGGTTGTAGATCCCTAAGAAGGCGCTACACAAATACATACCATTTTACCCTTTCAATGAGAGCTGATTTTTGTTTGACTTTGCAGAAAAGGACTAGACTCTCCAAGGGAAACAATGTCATCAAACTGCGTGCAAGCAAGTAGCTCACCTGGTTCTTTAGCAGTGACGTCCTTCAGCACATGCTTGGCCACTGTTGACATCTGAGCATGAAGCCTCTGCATGGAATTCTGCAATGCAATGATATCTGCGCCATGATTTCCACAGGTGACATTCGTCCTGTGGACGCGGTCCCGTAACTCTCCAATTTCTGTGTCCAGCTCAGTTTTCATGCCTTTGATGTTAGCCCCGTCTGACCTCTCGCAAACCTTTTCAAGTCTGCTTATACGGCCATCCACAGCTGAGATTCCATCAGAAACGCCTTGTGTGTTCTGTTTGCAAATTTTCACTTCAGATGAAAGTTGCCTACTTAGTGAGTCAAACATGTTATTCAGCTCATTCAGTTGATGACTGGTAGAGTCAGCCGAAGCCAAGTTGACTTGTGATGGACCTCCATGACTACTCGGATCTGCTTGGCAGCAAGTTGAGTTTAATTTCTGCATGTCCTGGTCGTATTTGCTCAGGGAATCACCTAAACCTTTAACAGCACCAGCCAAGCCAAGCACATTATCTTGAAGATTAATCAGCCCCTTCTGGTAGTCCTCCATTGTGTTTACGTGCCTCCCATTTCCAGTAGACTGCCTTTGAACAATACTGTCCAACTGCTTGAGCTTGTCTTTGTTGGAACCGACGATTGTGTGAAGAACATCCAGATCATTTCTATATCGCTTCAGGTCTGTCAAAATGTTCCCTAAATGATCAGGTGTCAGTGCAGGTTTTCCTTCACCTGCAGGATTTTCTGAGCCTGAACATCCTGCAGAGCACACCTTCTCTAGGTTACTAACTCTGCTGTTCAAACCACGGATGAGGAGTTTGTTGTTATTGGCTTGAGTTTCAGTGGCATTCATCCAGGAGTCAGATATTCTTGGGGAGGAATTGTTGTTCATTTCCACAAGTATGTTGGTAAACTGGTTCTCCACGTTATTCAAACGCTCATCAAGAAGCAGTCGCAGTGCAGCCACTTCATCTGCTATTGTTTGCGATAACTTCTCTTCGATGTAGAAACAATGGGTTTCTGCGTTTTGTTCTGTAATATTTACGCGCGCCTCCATCTCTTGAATCAACAAATTTAAATCACCAATGTCCTGAACTGAAGAAAAATGAGCCAGTTCATTGTCCATGCGAACATTGAGGATTCGATGGGCCTCTGCTATGCGGTCAATCTCACGCCACAGGTCCTTATGGTCGCTGTTGTCCTCTCTGGGTGATTCCGACTGTCTTTGAGTCCGTACCGGCCCATCCGCAACTGCCATTTCCAAACGTAATGTTCGGATTTCTTTTCTCAGATCAGCCTCCTTGGCTTCCACAAGCTTTGTCACTTTACCAAAAAGTTGATTGTGACTGTCTTCACAGGTTTTCTGCACAATCTGGACCTTATCATTGCATAACCCCTGTAATTTTGCCATCTGTTCCTCCACCTGCTGGTCTAATTCCTTCTTCAGGTTCTCAAATTTTCCATCAACGTAGGTTTGTATAACATCAAACTCAGCTATGGTTGGGGTCTGAGACTGAGAGGCATCCATTAGGACACGTATTTGTCCCTCGTGACTTGTTGTGATTCCCTTTAGGTCTTCCAAAGCTTCGTCCTTGTTTTTAAGTGCATGACTGATATCATCTAAACGGGCTTCAATTTTTTCCAGGGCTTTTTCTCCAGGTATCCCACCTCTGGTGGCCTGATGGCCATCTAGCACCGCTGGATTTTCCTCTGCACCCGAACTATTGTTATTATTTTGAGGATGCATGTTGTTTAGAAGTGTCAACAGCATCTTCTTTGAGTCGTCCTGCAGGTCTGTGAGGAGGTTATTGGTTAATCCATTTAGAGTCGACTGCAGATCCACAACTGTCTGAGACAGACGCTGAACTTCACCCTCAAGAAGACGCACCTTATCTGAGACACCGTGTCGGGTTTCATGGTGCGCTGTCTCCCTCCGCTCTGGCCCTATAATCATAAAATATGTTAATACTTTAGACCTAAAAGGAAGGAAACTGTGTGATCTGTAGCCAAATAAAAACAAATGACTCTAAAAAACATATTTTCTCAGTTTTGCAGATGTAATACAGCAGCTATGTTTACATGGGCACAAGTAATTGGAGTGAATTCCCTTTCAGATAAAAAATTCTTCATGTAAACATGAAAGGTGGTTTTGTTCAATCATCATTCTGATTGAAGTCCATATACACACCTATTTGGATTATTGGAGTAAAATAATACCCACTGCGCATGTGTGCTACTTCAGCGTGATGCCTTTCCACCTTTGCGGATGCTCAGGACAAGTTGAAAACATGGCGGGAGGTAAACAGAAGTGGTGTTGCAGACACTATTTTTTTTCTGGAAACACTACGTGAACTCAATATTATTGAACGTCTCAATGGCCGAAAGGCTAGAAATGATGAGTTATACGTCTGCATCTAAAGATGCAGGAAGTAGGATTTCATCGAACCATTGACCTAATCAAAAACTGCTGGGAAAGTTTGAAAGCGGTGTATCACCAGGCAAAAGTGGGTCTGACCCCGCCAGCTTTGAGTTCTACGAGCAGATGGATGAAACGATAGGGAATAGGCCGCTATCTAACTCTTCTATAAATGGCGTGGATGTTGGTCTGGAGAATGACAATGACTCCAATTAGGAGTTTCGTGGAGAAGATGGCAACATCACCGGTAAGCGTTTATGTGAATACGTTTTCCCGGGAAAGACAACTCTGCGCATGCTCAACCTATTTAATCTGATTGAATGCTTGGTACGTGTATACTCGCGGCATGATCGGATCATTTCAGTTAGTGGCCATGTAAACAGAGAATTGGGATTTCTGATCAACCAGAATTTGAATCGGATAGGGGAAATTTGGCGCATGTAAACGTAGTTGCTGTTTAGTTTAAACTGGTAGAAACACTTTAGGATGAAATATTGGTTTCTTACTCTGTGCCTGCCTTGCTGAGACTCCAGAATTTGGTGGGGGATGAGACCGGGGTCCAAGATGTGTCTGTCCCCCTGACGGTGGGTTAAAATCTTTACAATTTGGACCACTGTAACCAGGACAGCATTTCCATTCCAACACTGTGACCAGCTTGTAGCCAGTCTTGTACGTGGGTCGAAAATGTGTTTGGTATCTGAAAAACAAAGCAGAACGATGATTGAGCTCCACATTTCAAAAACAGGATCAAACCAAAATCATTTGCAAAATGTTTTCCCTACTTTAAGGGGAAAACAAAAACTGTTGAACTGTGTGTTTTAATTAGAAACTGATGGCTTATGTAGCTTTTATATCACAAAAAATAAGTTCCCAAGAAAAACAATGGATGATATCACTTCCCTGAAGATGGGGGTCATGCCACAATGAACATCTGGAAAACCGATGTCTGAAACAATCACTTTTCCCCCAACAATTACTGATACTGCCTTTCTAGCTGAGAGGAGGGAAAAGGAAAGCGGAAATCTGTAGGACATCAATATTTAACATTTCAGCTGCAGCCAGTAGTCTGAACTTAAACATCTAGAAAGAAAATAAATTCAAGCACCTTTACTGCCAGTTTTTTTGTTTATTTTTTGCATCACACAGAAACATGCAAATATGCTCCTGTGACCCAACAGTCATCAGCTTCCAGGAATCATTTCCACAGCGCTGGGACTCACTCTATCTGGTAATATGAACCTAAAAGCTCCACCACAGACACTGTGTGTTTATGACCAAAGATGATTCACAAACACAATATGTTACATTGTGACACAATGTTTTCCAGCAAAAATTACAGCATTTCCACATGTGTGCTATAGTGCAGATGCCTTTATTTACAACCATCACTGTTTGGTAGTTAAGACCTCAGTGTTTAAATCACTTTATGTTAGTTTTAAAATATTTAAATTAACGATTTATGCTACTGTTCTGTGTTTTAGACCATACTAATAATGTAGAAGTTTCTAGCACAATTTTCACTACTCCCATGGCACACGGAGAAGAAAAACACATCTCAGTAGGTAAAAGTTCCTGCAGTACTTGTAGTGGTAGGAAAGGAAGGAAAAACACCCATTAAGTCATTCAAAACAAATGTATTGACTAATGTGTTTTGGCTTGTGACCCTGATGAGAGTTGCAATCCTCCCAGACTTCTGAGATTTAGGGTGGTGGTACTTTAAAAAATAGCATTCAAAATCAGAGCTGCTTTGCATAGAAGGAAGCTGGAACTTAAAGGTGCAGTTTGTAAGAGTGACATCCAGTGGTCAAACGCTGTTACTGCAGTCCATTTTTTAAGCAATAATATAACTGGCTCACACCCGTTTTGCGAATTTCATGGCTGTTGCCAGTTACAGATCAGCACCAGAAGATTCTAGATGACAAAGATGAGTTATACACTTTAAGTTAACTCATTCACTGCCAGTCGTTTCCTGATCAGAAAAGTCCTTCGCTGCCAGAGCTTTTCAGCGTTTTCACTGTTTTTTTAAGAGTCACAGAACGTTGCGTGCCAGGAGGATGTCGACGACAAAACTACTAAAACAAAGAGTTAGACTCACCTTTTACATCAGGAAGAATCTGCGCGTTTCGAACATTATCCGTTCTTTCATAATCCGTTGTCGAGTTGTGATCGGCAGAAGCTTTTCCGGTTTGTGCCTCACCTTTTTTACAGCAAAACGACCTCCTAACACATGGATTTTCTGCTTGCTGATCACGTGACGTACACGGATGAAGATCGGCTTTAGAGCTGGGATGTTTTTTTTCACGGCGCGGGGGCTCGTTCCGACACCCACATAGTAAAAAAAAATGTGATCGGTTGGATTTGAAATGACAACTTTTGCCGTTAATGGCAGTGAATGAGTTAATAAGTAGACAAATGCATAAATGCATTGCCATATCCGGTGTTAGCACTCTTTGGTGTTTTACGGATGGGAGCACTTATTACGCTTATTATGGTAGTTTGACTACGGCATTCCAGGGAGTGTTGTTTACTGTCTTGCTGCTAGCTTACTGCTATAGTTCTGAATGACTAATTAAAGGAAGTAAAATTATTATGAAGTATTCAGTTCACACATAAATTTCACTGTGATATCAAGTTGTTGGTAACTGAAAAACTAGTTTGAGATATTTTTAGAGCCAACAAATTTTCTTCTACTTCACTATTAGCATTGTTTGCTTAATGTTAGCCTCTATCCTGCTTCACCTGATATTAGAGTAAAACAAAAAAATGCCGTGGATTCTATGGGATAAAATAAATAACTTGTGAGTCACTCCGGTTTACTGGCTTTGGTTCATTAAACAACTCTGAAGCTTTTAGCCTGCCAGTGTCCAATTACAGATGCAGCTAACGCTGTCGATTTCGCAACCTCTCAAACTGAGAGGGTCAACAGCAACTATGTCCTGCATATTTTTTTTCAAAAGGAAAGAGAAAACTGACAACTACACAACTAGCTGAGAATGAAATCTGTTTCAGCATAACCTTGCTTCCAACATCTGAGACTAGACTGTTTTGTGATTATTTCACTGCAGAGTTCTTACAAACTGCACCTTTAAAAGTGATAGTTTGTATCTGTTTTTCTGTGAAAATGTGATCAATTAATATCTTACTTATTGCACATTCAATTCAATTCAACTCAAATTCAAATTCAAAAATACTTTATTAATCCCAGAGGGAAATTAGATTGCTTTCTGAGTGGCCTAGGTTTGGACAAACAGAGATGAGCCAACAGCTAGTCATGGTGTAGCTGCTTACGAAGCATTTTAAAACATTTTCAGTCACTAAAATTTCATAATAGTTTATGCAAATGCTACTATACAACATTTACGCTCCCCAAATTCCACATTCTGTGGTTATTCCTACTATATAATTATGAAATTCCAGCCAAAAAGACACTAGCTGGAGTTTCCCAAACCTGTTTCCCTAAACATAAACCATTTTTGCTGCAAATAACCACATAATTACATGTAAATAAGAGGGGTAGGGTGTATGCTCTATTAAATTTCTCCTTTCTGGACCAGTTTGGTAAATAAAAGAGCAAACTACAACAGGTACGGTACTATATTATAGAACCCCACTTCAAAAGACTCAAACAGTTCCTTTAAATTGACAGATTTTATAATAAATTCTGTTTTCCTCCACAAATCAGTCATTGATGAGTTCTGCTAAAGTTAGGGTTCAATGTTTATCATACAGGAAAAACTTCAGCACATTAGCTGATGCGTAAAAACCGTGCACACACACAAAAACGTGCAACCTTGAGTTGTTGAACCAAGGTTATCTGGGGTTAGAGAAGACTGGGTCAAGTATGAATAAACAGTCTGAGCACATGACAAACTTTATGATTTGTTCTTTTTTTTTTATCGGGACGGGACACGTGTCCTGTTGCCTTTAACTTGGGCTGAGTTCTGCAGCAGCTTGATGAAAATGTTACGAAGTTTTGGGGTGGACTTCATCCAGCAGCAACCCTGAGGATCTTTACATGCCACCATGGAAGAGGTGGTGACTGGCCCACTCACCAGAGAAATAAAGTGCTGTTGGGCAGAATTAGCTGGTAAAACTTTGCCTAAACTTGGATCATAGTTTTGTGCAACACTTTAGTAAGTTTGAAGCTTTATTTCCTGTGTGGCCCAGTGGAGATGCAGCTTTATTTCTGCCAATTATGAATATTTCAGCCTCCAGCTTTCACTCAAGGAAACACTGTGCATCCAATGTCCCTCCAATAAACATGCACCATCAACCCCCATTCCATGTTCCCTGGATGCTCACGTCACTTGTTGCTGGCAGTCGGGCTGGTAGGCCGGGCAGGGGGCCACCACAGGCTCCTGGAAGCTCCCTGCACTTCCCTGCACCACACAACTCACGTTCCTCTGGATCACATAGGCGCACCAGTTTCTGTGAATGGAGGTGAACAAACAAGAGCATCAAGGCTATTATTGTCAGCAAAACCGAGCACATGACAGAAAAAAAGCAGCTAAAGCATCTTAATTAGTTCCATATGACATTCCTATTACAGGCTGTCTTTTTTTAAAAAACTCATTTTCTTCATGACTTTCTCCGTTTAGACTCTGCCTAGTTTATCAGGAAACGTTTGGATGTGGCATTCCTGCGTTTATCTGGATCTTATCACCTTTGGCAAGGCTGGAAAACTCGAGCCGAAATTAGTCCCTCACAGCCCGATAAAGCAGAGTTAACCGTCTGCATGTGACCATAAGAGGCGAAGGCATCTACCTGGAGTTCACTCCGGTCACTGAGGAGTTCGGACCCCTTTTTTCTTGGCAGCTGCGCAACAAAAGCGCACGAACTTTGCGCAGGAATGAGTGAAACATTAACGAGCTGCCTTTAAATCCCATAAAACCACACCACTCACCTATTTCTGTGTCTGTGGAGCGCTCCAGTGTGCGCTGAATTTTGGAACAAGTCATAAGAAGACGGAGACCCGTAAGAGAAGTGAACGTTTAAAATCAGTGTGAAAACGGTCCACCGCCAGTCCATCCCTTTTGGTCTATTAGCTATATTTAACAAGCGCGTTAAATGAAACATTTCTAGCTTCTTTTGATTAAATTAGTGAGATCTGTTTTGTCTTTATTGTGCGCGATGTGGCCAAACACCGAAGTAGCATCGCCCCTGTTGCGGATCCAACTCCAGTAAAGTGAAGTTTTGGGGAAGTCCGCTGCAGCTCCCAGGGAGTGACGTTCAGGGACCACACCCTCCTCTTAAAAACTCAGGAGAAAACTTAACTTCATCTGAGACTTGCTCAAGTACAATGATATTATTCCTTGAAGTCCTTTTTAATGATGTGATGAACTGATTTAATTATTGCCTCCATTGAGAGGGGGTTAATAATTCACGCCTCACTGGTGCCCACTGAATGCAACCGGTTGGTGATAATGATAATCATATTCAGCAATAAAAGTAGTCATTTAAAGTCCCTTCTCCTAATGTGAGCAAACGTATCTTCAGCAGATCTTTAAACCTTTTGGAAAAACTCAACTTGAGAAGTGTTCTGATTTTGTCATCAAGAAAAGGACACACACACACACACACACACACACACACACACACACACACACACACACACACACACACACACACACACACACACAAATGATTCGATCTTGGCTGAAGTAAACACTTCTTTAACAGTTCTCTAACAAAACCGTTGAATGAAAATCAAATGTTCTATGTAAATTGAAACCAAGCATGTTTAGTATCCAATCCCATTTTTAGGACCTTCAAAGAATTGGTTATGGGCAGACAATTATTTAAGTTTTGCGCTTCATTTGGGCTGAAGGTACTAGTATTCATGAGTAAAAAAAATAGATAAGATTTAAGGTAACAGTAGATCTTTTTTTATATACTTACAGCTTTAACATTGATCTCAGTTACTACTGCGCTGGAAACGTGACTAGTTTCATATCTGACACCACTCTGTAGCCCTCTGCTGACCAAAAACCGCACTAGATAGTTTTGTGGAGCGGGTAGGTGTCCTAGGAGGTGCTCCATACCTACTTTACAGCTGTTAGCTATAATGCTAGCAGTTAGCATTTTCAGTTTGCCAATTGTCAAAAAAAAAGCACAAGAAAAATACGAAGAACAAGTTTGCTTTTTCTGTTGACGTCATGGCAGAGCCTGGAAATAAAACTAAGAGAGTAATGTCTTTAGAGCAAGAGCTAAAACCAGAGTGAACATCGGCACGGCCTACGCTAGTCTGAGCGAGCTAAAGGAGGCTACAAAATCAGACTGATGGTGACATCTTCGTTGCTACTGGACTTGTAAGTAATAATGGGTTTTGTCCAACAGTGTGGATCTTTTTACTTTGTGGTTTGTTTTAGTATTAGTTGGCTCGTGTTAGTGTTAGCTCGTTGTTAGTGCTAGCTACAGCACGGTTCTTTACAGCAGTTGTAATTTCACGTTCAACCAGTAGGGCGGAGCAGGAAACTGTCTAGAGTTACTGTAATAGTAAAACATTTACAACAGTTAAAATCAAGTCAAATAAGCATAAACATTGTAACATGTTACCTTAAAATTTGACATTTCATTGACTTTATGTAATACAATTAAACAGAAAATATTCATGTAATTAAATCACAGAAAGTCCACTCTTTTGGCCGAACCTCTTTTTCCAGGCAGAAAATCACAACTAGTGACTTAGTGCTGCCTGGAAGTGAGACTGAGGCTGTGAAGTCCTTTTTAGTGGAACAGGCCTAATCTGTTGTTTCAGATCATCTTGATCAGACAGATTTCACTAGCTGGGAAAAATCCGAAGACAAAGTTACATAAATTAAAAACAGGCAACAGACAAAACGCTGCTGCTAGATTCAACAGAAAATGGATGCAACCCATTTCAAACCAGACTTTTCATCTGAGCTGGTGTCAGATCTGAGATGGATTTCTCCAGAATAACATGACAACCAGCTGGAAGATATTAGATATTATTTAGGAGGATCACATTTGCTTTGAGTTGTTTTCTAAATTAAATAGATGAATATCTTCTGTGCATTAGCATCTAAGAACTCATATTATCTCATTTCATCTCTTGTTTTGTATTGTTTCATTCAACAGCATATGTTTATCGTATTCCTCATTTAAAAAAAAAAAAAATTTTGTATGCACCAGGAATATGGGGGAGTGCATATGCAATTTCATGTTTTCGATGGTTTGAGATAAATAAATAAATAAATAAAAATAAAAAATAAAAATTAATCCTCCCTTATGTTCCTATATTTATATATAACAACTCAGCCGGTGAGGAGAGGAAATGTGCCACATAAGTGTTTTATTTTTGACCTTGTCTCCAGAAGAGGGCAGCATAGCAGCAGTAAACACTAATTAAACCCATTCTTCTCTAAAGTGTTGGACTGAGAGCAGGACATTTCATTACAGAGGCAGCATGAGTGCCGAAGCTCCAGATTCAACACCTTTCCGCGTGACGCTAATGTGGATGAGCTCTGATTTCACCTCCCCTTGTGTTTTCCTGAGGAGTTAGTTGTGATCACTGTGCTAAATAAGCCCCAGCCTGATCCGATTTATGGTTCCATAGTAATGATTAGCTTTTAAACCGAAATGATCGTTTAGTTTTTACTGCTTCGACTGGGATCAGATCTTCCTGATTTGTGACCTTGACTTGATCAGGTCGTATAGCACAAATGTGTTTTGTTCAAGTTAAAAATAGTCATTAACTTCATGTTTGCCCTGACATTCATGGGGGAGCAGGAAGGTGGGTGAGTCATGACCGAAGGAAAATACCAAGCTGTATCTTTCATTAAGGAAAGAGAAATGAGGGGAAAAAAAAGAGACCCAGCATGGTTCCTTTCATAAATCCAAGGGACATTTGCACATTTCTCCCCTCCTCTCTCGGATCGATTCCTTATTTTTCCACTCTGCACAAGTTGGAAGACTGATTGGAATTGGAGGGGCCCACTTCGAACCCGGGGAGGCTCCTTCGCAGCATATGATGCATTTGTCAACCTCTCCTGCCATCGAAGCTGCGACCTCGATCTTTTTACCTTAAATGTGCTGCTTTGCTTGATGGGGAGGTGCGGCTGATACTGAGCCAACACGAAGCAGGTTTTCCTCTTAACGCACCAAATTTGTGCTGAATTTTAGACCCACAACATCACACGTGAGCTTTAAAGCATGTGGATCAGTCCGGGAGACTTGGTGGGCATCAAGACTTTCTAAACGCCGAACATCGCTTTGAATTGTTGATTCTGACTTGTCACCCAGAGATACTGAACATCTTTTGGATACGCATCATCCTCTGATTCTGCTGTGGATGACTGGCCACTCATTGGGGAGAGGGCACACAAACTGCCTACACAGGTACAAAATGTGGTCAAGAGGCCACCTAAGGGCCCCTTGGTCAGGTACTTTTACTTTTTTCTCTCTCTACACAGTGTTTGAGACATTTCGCTAATGTTTGTTTTAACCATAATGCAGCTTGATGCTGAGGTAACGTCAAAGTATTTAAACCTAAGTGAGAAGTTGCTTGAGATTTTATAAGATGCTTTTCTATATACGCTTGCAAAAACACGTTTTATAAGGCAGCAAACCAGTTGAGAGCTCCCCCTCCATCGCTGTCTGTTCCACCCACTCTCTGAGGCTTTCTGAAAATGTGCTCGCTGTAAGGGAGGCGGAAATGACTATACCTAAGAGAACCACCTCTAGCAGATTGTCTTCCAGCGTTATTTCAGATTTATCCCTTCCTCGTCGTGCCTGGAGGAAAGTCTCAACCGAGATCGCCCTGTCACTTCTGATTGTTGACCAAGCAAAAGCAAAACCCTTAATCTGAGATGCTAGCCTCTGTGGGTGTTCAGCCCAGTTAGGCCTTTAAGATTATTAACTGCTGTAACACCACAAATGACCTCCGGATCAGTTCCTGTTTATCCGAGAACAAAAAAACACAACGGATACGACTGACTACAACGCCATGATCAGAAGATTAGGGGAAACAAGTGTCATGGTCGGAGACAAACATAGAGATGGCCTTGAAGACGAAAAGAGATAGTGTTGGCTGGTGTGGATCTACACCATTAACACACCCACCCACCCACCCACACACACACACACGCACGCACGCACGCACGCACACACGCACACACACACACACACACACACACACACACACACACACACACACACACACACACACAGTTTCTCCTGTTGAGTTTCCCCTCACATGCGTGTGCAAGCAGACATGCACAGCAGATTAGGGGATGTGATTTATTGGTTGTAAAATGTTAATATAGCTATAAGCCAGGCTCATGAATAGTTAATTACAGCCCTGACATCCTCGTCACCTTAAATGTTAATGAGGTGAGATTGAGTCAGGGCTGAGAGGTCTCTGTGTGCTTCAGAGCAACCCAACAGATGAGCTGAATCTTCAAGACCTTGCCCCCTCCTGCATACACACACACACACACACACACACACACACACACACACACACACACACACACACACACACGCACGCACGCACGCACGCGCGCGCGCACACACACACACACACACTATATTAAGCAATGCTGAAGGCACCTGAGATGGGTCAGGCCCATTTGGCCACTGAGTAATTAAATCATAATGTGTGAATTAACTGCTGTGCTAGTAAAAGGAAATGATGAATGCTTTCTATATTTAGTCCTCGTCCCCACTGCATCCACTCACTCTACCATGAATTTATTCACTGATGTAAAATCAGTGTTTAATTAAGCCGTTTAAGGTGGAAATCTCAGTTTTATTGTAAGGATGCTTGAATATAATCCCACTGTTGCACCGAGAGTGTCCACCCCATTCGTTAAACTGTGTGATTCAATATCAGGCTTCTCCCAAGTAGGATGGCATCAAAAATTAACTGTAACCCCTTTCTACTTTATCAATCAGGATTTATTTTGAGTTCCTAATGATATTAAATTAACAAAGACCCGGTTAAATCCTCTGCTGCTTTTCATTTTTAGTTGTGGAGTTCTTCCAGTGCCTGCTTGGGTTTCCTCACACAGTCTAAAGACATGCATGTGACTGTAAGTGAACCTGTGCTTCTAAATTAAATGCTCTGCATGACTGTTCATGGCTGTTTGTGTAATGAACTGGTGACCTGTCCAACGTGAACCTTGCATCCTGCCCCATGGCAGTTAGAGTAACCTCCAGCCCTCCATTGACTCTG